TATTTCACAATTATTCCTCATTCCACTAATCCTGAGGTTACCTACTTGAAATCTGTGTTCGAGCCGGACTGCTATTGACATCAATATCATCTGTTTCGAAACTAATTTATTGTGTTTGTCCGACACGAGTCCCGAGCAAATTCTTTCTTCCTAAGAAACGTAGGAAGTGAGTGTGGATCAGTCAAAATTGAACAGAGAAGTAGGTACAGGTGTCCGGAGGAAATTATATCGAGACGAATTTGCGAAAGGCTCGGGAACGATAAATCCCGTCATTGGAACGAGAGCATCTGCTACTGAGCTGTAAGCGATTTCGAGACCCGTGTATGACTCTGGTCGTTCGAGTTCAGTGCCTCCTCCGACCCCGTCGTCCCGTGGTCTTACATCCTCGCTCATACGCGTCGCACTTGAAGCTCATAGTACGAAGCACGTGCGCGTACCATCAAATAGAGGGAAAACGCGTGGTGGAGAATGAAACGGGCGGGTTACTCACTATGAGAAGAACGCATCTATTTTCAGAAGTCACACCGCCGCATCCCAGCCAGCTACCGACCACGGCCAAAGCACCTGCGACGATCAAAGCATACGCTAGCATCGGGTACGTCGAGGTCGGCATCAGGGACACATAGCCGTGCTTTGAAATTACCGTCCAGATACCGATCCCGCCTACCACCAGTCCAGACAACTGAAACAGAAATGAGCCCGTCGATCACGTTCAGGCTTCTGTGAATCGCAAACCTTTTGATTACTCTCCTATCCCATCGCGCGATTCGAACTCATCCCCCTGTTGCTCGCCTCGAATTCCTGACGACGAACAGGCAGATCGCGGACTTTTGCGCGAGGCGAAGCGTTCATAATCATTTCATTGATCTCATCGGCAACACTTTGGTTCCGTGAACCAGACGTCGTCACCGCCCACAGGCATCTGGTACACGGAACAGAATCGCGTCGATCTCGCCCCCTTCGCTGTCATCGCTTCACGGTGACCGAGATTCATGCACCCGACTCTTCTGTCGTTTTCTCACCGTATCTTTCTTCGAACATCTTCGAGTTCGGTGAGACACCCCACGCGGTCTTCCCGTGGGAGCAGGCCAGGAAACGAACGAGCAGGACGTGAACATCGGTGGACGAGCGATATTCGCGGAACGCGCAATGCGTGGGCAATGCGGGCAACGTGGTCAGCGTCGCTCCTCGACGCGAGCTGTCCAGAACGCCGGATGGACCGAACAGCCGCATACGCGTTCGACGTTGTACCGTATTTTATTTTACTCGTAACATCACTCGTTTCCATCTTGTTTACGTTGGACGGAGATCTAGTCTGATTTTTCGACAGACAACATGATGAGCATTTAAAAGTTTCCCGAAAGGTTCGTGAACCCGAGTGTATCGCGACGCGGGAACCATCGACGGAAATAAAAAGGGGATCGACAAAGCGGTCGTATCTGTACTGTATGCACGTGTTCGGCTACGTAGGTGCGCATCGAAGCTCCGAAACGATCCTCTACGCTTACCGTGATCGATTTCTAGTGGCGGAGGAGACGATCGAGCAGCAAATCTTGTAGACTGTTCACTGCTGCGTCCTCCGAGGGACATGAACGTAATTCACAATCGACGTTCGCGAATATTTATGACGCGTTCGCTTCGACGTTATTCATATTCGCCGACAACGCGGCGAAACGTACGATCGTCAAATTCCATCGCGAGGGACGCTATCATAATTTTCTTTCCGAGAGAGCCGGAAGGAATTTTTTGAGGGATCGTTCACGCCCCCGCGTCCTTCGACTCCTGACCCGACTCGTCTCACTCGATCACCCATTCGGAGAGCAAATGAAGAGGCGAGCATCTAACGGTGCTTCTTCACGGTCATCCTTTTACCTCGCCGCGTTTCACGCCCCACCCGACGGTCGATGGCCCAGAAAATTCGTTTCGTTCTTGCTACCGTTCCTCCAGGACGCTGGAATTTACGCGCCGCGATTATCAACCTCGTTCACCGAACAACTTCATCGGCCCGGACCCTACCGTTTCCGTCCTCTCGTCCGACGAATCGCCAATCATTTTTGTCACCGGAGCATCGCGGTCGACTTCCTCGCTGCCGCTTACATAACGCGTTTCCACGTACCGCCTACGCGGGAAGTCTGGGGATGCGTCTAATTTTAAAGTCATCTCGTGTTCGCGAGTCGCGCTGATCTTCATACGAAACGAAACGAGTGCACCGGCGATTTAGAAAATTCGATACACGGAACCATGCCGAGGCGTGGGCGTACTTATTAAAAAAAAAGTAGATGCGAGGACCGATATCGGAGGATCGCGGCTCTCGAGTCTCGTTTCTCGGTGCGGCCGCAGCTGCTACGAGATATCATCGGCGGTACAGCAGCCTGTTTGTTCCGTTCCTCCGGCGCACCGACACGTACACGAGTATATACGTACGTACTGTATAGGCGACGGCAACGGCAGCGTGCTCGCATGATTTATACCCGCGGTTTTAAGGCCACCGACTCGTACCACCGAGGCGTAATATCGTTAATGATGAACATTTTCGTCGCTGGTCTCACTTGCCCGAGGAACACGCCGTTATTTATTGCTATCAGACGAGCCTAATGGAATCGTTTCCACCGGGTGCTTTACTATAATCGGGATACTATTTCCGGTTGTACAATGGAACGAGCTACGAGCCACGAGTTTCGATCCCCGGGAGATTACAATATCAAAACGACGAGCACGGCCGGTTGGAATCCTCTACTAAAGTCCAACGTGCATCGTCCATCGTCTAACGACCCTTTAGAGAATTCCTATTGAAGACGTTTCGTTGCTCGACGCAAGGCTGATCGCGTCGTCAAGTAAGAAATTTCGCTATGGAAAAAAGTGCGTGGTGACAACCGCATGATGCGTACCGCGACGTTCAAACGATCGAAGCACTCGACGGGACGAAAAGGTGACGAATTCCGAAGCTCATCGATGCAGTTCGCCGGAATGATTCGAGGCACGCTTGGCGCGTGAATTGGATTTTATCAGAGCGTAGGTATTGTCGTTCGCGCCGACGTGCGTGCGTTCTACATGCGCGGAAACTCAAATATCTCACGACGGGAACGTACGTGTACGAGACTCGTCTTGGAACGAGAGACGAGACAAAGATCATTTTGGTTCGCCCGTGAAGTCACGCTCGTTTCTATACCGCAGATTCGCGGTCATACGAAACGTCGCGTTTACAGAAAATGCAGTCGCAGTCTTTCGTCGGTCTGCTTACTCGTCTCTCGGGCAAAAACGGACGGATACGAGGTAACGGCCTTTCGATCGGCAACGACGGAGCGAGAAATCGGGGGAAGATCGTGTCAAATACTCTATCGTGAACCGAATCACGCTGATTCAACGAGCGTAACGACGACGTGGCTAGAACCCTATCCGAAAAGTTTGGTTCAACTTTGACCGCGAGTAGTTTGGGAAATTGGCAACGTCCAACTTTCCTTTAACGAGGTCCACCGATCGGGAATGTTCGCGTTCACGTTCACTCTCTGCCTGAACGTTCAGAAGCTCATCGTCTATTCGCAGGACGTAGCTGTCGCAGGAGCAACTATGCCAAGAAGCTCTGGCAATTTCTGAGCAACGGGAAAAGACGGTCGCTGAGGAATTCGCAGGGTCACGTGCTTCCTCACTTCGGGGACGGCTCGACGTCTAACGTCGGAACGATCCGACGATTCTCGCGATCAATGGGAGTAAACGCGCGCGTTAAGCATAGGCATTGTTGCACGGCCATTGTTCCCGGATGGTCATCGTTATATTATCCCGGCATTATCGAGGCTTGTTACTCCGGCGAGCTCGAAGCCCGCCGATTGCTTGATCACCGCGGTGATTTTGCGATTTCCTCGAACGACCCGTTCGACTCGGCCGATGATCACGGTCGGAACTGATACGATGGAGGAAAACGATTGCACGTCGTGAAGCGGCAACGACGGACACAGGGACGAGTCTCTCATCAGTCTTGATCTCGCGAACGTTTCTCGGGAGCGAAACTCGATCCGGTTCTCAACGAGGCGAGAGGCGTCAACGTTTTATGCATCTCGCGTTCCGATGCGCCACATCCGGAGCTACCGATCGATTCGCATCCTTCTCGTCGGGACGTTCCCTTCTACCCCCTGTGACGCGACGTCTTCCTCCCATTTACAAATTTTATACCTCACCGTCGAGAATCGATGGTCCGGTCCCTCTACCGCTTTCTTACTACTTACGAACAAGACGACGTTGTAGATGTGTAGAACGTATTTGAGAAAATTAACGGAGCAGCAGCCGTCGTCCCTGCTCCTGAGCCTCGTCGAGGTACCAGGAATCCTCTCGGCGCTTTTAGCCATGATCGCTCGATTCGCTTCGTCCTCGTGCGTGTCCGTGGTACTCGTGGTCGTGGTCGTCACCTCGTCACTGATTCTGTAACATTCGAGCGACGAGATTCTGAGACTTCCGCGATAGACAGAAGCCGGAAGACGGGTCGACCCGGTCGACTTCGATTCTCGTTCGCCCGACGAAACGAGCAGATCGCGTATGAGTATTTCGAAAACTTTGACGGTGGACAGGAATCGTTTGTGCATGGCTTTGCGAGATTCTGATTCGTACAGAGCGCAAAGTCAACGAAACGCGGAGGAAGCCGATCGTCGAGCGATGTCCCTGGCGATAGAAGATGGAAGAAGAGAAACCGCGGAATGAAATGGGTGTGACCCATCTCTCACTCGTGTGGGCGAAGGAGTTTCGACCGCGCAAACCGACCATAAAACAAAGTTCCCGCCCGGATACGAGACGAATCTCTCTCTTTTTTCATTTTCTGCTCCCCTTTTCCCCTCCCTGTCAGAACCGAGTGTGGAACGCGAGCCGAATAACTTTCGTCGCTCCGTACGTCTACCGGTGATCAGTTTCCAAGTCGAAGAAATGTCGATGAATCCTTTTCTCGATTTGTTCCAAACTTCCACCGGTTCGTCGCTTCCTCTTTGAACGACTGGCAGGGATGATAAAAATAATTTTCGCATCGTAGCAACGGAACAGCAAAGTTTCCCGCCATCAATAAAGTATCCTGCGTTGCTCATCGTGAGGCCGAGAAAGACGGAAGCGGTGAACAACTTGGCAGTATACAAAGATCTGGTCGATGGACTCCTGACAACACCGACGCATCCAACGGATGAAATTCGCGCGTTTGCGTGATCAAAAATTCGTCTGCCACGCGCCGCTGACATTCCACGCTTTGACCCACGTGCCAGCCAGGAACCTTTCAGCCGTGAGCCGAAGGAGTACCTTTCACGCCCACGCTGAGACTCACAGCCCACGTTCGTCACGATTCGCGGTGACGCATCGATGTGCATCTCGAGCCGTTCCTACGGACGGCCCAGAGGAAACGAGCCGAAGCTATCGACGTGGGCTTCGTCGTCTTCGACCAGAACAGGTCGGGAGAGCACGTCGTCTCTCCACGAGCAGCGCGGGTCTGATATATACGTCCAGATCGTGGAACTTTGCGCAAAGTAAATGACTCAGAAGATCAAAGATCGAACCCAGATCGAGATTTCTCTTAGCCATTAGAAACAACGATATACGCCGCACTCTAAACGTTCTGCGCGTGTAATCGTTGGAATTGGTAAATGCACGTATCGAATCCACGGTCTACTCGGCTCACTACGCGAATTTTTCTTCTTAATTGAACGCACAGAACGATACGATACGATAAAAATGATGATGAACGGAAGATAAACGATTTACCCGAGAGCAACGGCGACTCGTTGCTCCAATTCCATTTTTTAGACGGGCGGGAAGGTATCGCGTTAATCGTTAGGGGGTGACACGCGCACGTAAGCCCGGTGTACCATCGAAAACCATGACCATGTTTCATAATATATCAGCGACGACGTCGGGGCCGTCGGTCGATCCCTTCCCATCAATTTGCCGCGATGCGGTGCGGTGGTGGCATGTTCCCAGCATAGACATATCCTCATTTATCCCAATGTCCTACGCGTCGGCAGCCAATTTGCTAATCGAGCCAATCATCCAATCGTATTAACCTTGCCAGCCATTGAGAAACCCCCGGTCTCCTTTTTATCAGCCGGTTCCTCACGTTCCGACTTTCGACGAAGGTGTTCAAACTCTCAGGGTGTTTACCTCGGTGCCTTCGATTCTGCTTCACGATACGCGCACGTATAGCTAGTCGATCAGGATCAATTACACGTACACGAGAGACCGACGGAGCCTCCCTCTCCCATCGACTCGTCTCGTACACGCGTACGGGCTACGTGCGTCGCATCACCGAGTACGTCACACAGCGGAAATATTTAAATAGGAGATCAGGATAGAATCACTCATCGCAGAGTTTTTCGCACGTTCCATTCGAGCCAGAACCGTGCTCCGTGCGCTTGTTCCAGGCTCTCTTATTTATGCTCCATACCAGTCTATACCGTCCAGTTCTAGGTTCTAGTCCGTAAAATTTCGTGGAGGGGGTTGAAAGATAAAAGGTATCTTACCCTCTATCTTGGCTCGAGCCATCGTAAATCATGCTTCGAAACGTCGAAGCCGAATTTGTCTCACTGATCCGTTACTGATTATCTCGCCTTTCAATGAATCAACAGCTCGTCCACTCGTCACTGTGCTACCCCCGGCAAAAGTACGAATACCACGTACGAAATAACGATGACGCGAAGCGTACCAGATCTTGTCAGGAGTACTTAAGTCGGCTTCGTCACACGCTATGCCGTGCCGTTCCCATTTCGATTGCGATCGTCGATCCCACGTATCATTCTCGAAGGATCGACTTTATCACCGTGACCGGTGACCACGGATAGAACGGAAAAGTGCGACGCAGTCGAGTAACGAGTACCGACCGTACTACCGCTGGTACTGCCACTGCTGGGACTGCCCCGGCCCACGCCATCCGCCTCTGATGTAAGTGCAATTGCACCGCGTTGCACCGTGTAAAATTGGATAATGCGGCCCGACCGGAGCTCGATTCACTTCCGGGAGAACGGGATCATCGATCCAAACCGTTTCTGCGTCTACGGCCACTTCCTCTATCCTTTTCCCATTCCCGAAAGGTTCTTGCCACGCTCATCCTTCCATGAAGCGTTCACTTCAAAGTAAATTCATCCCTGCCCTCTCCGTTCCAATTTTTTATGTCGTTCCGTGCCTCCGATCTCGGTTACCCCCACGCGAGTAACAACGCCATAGCGATCGATTCTAAATTGAAATGAACAGCCGCGGACACCGCGATCAATATTTATTTTATGCAAAGCTCGCGACGAGCCATCGCGACGAGAACCACCGATAGAATCGAGATCCAAACGATGACGCAGCGGTTGAAAGGAAAATGTAATTTGCTCGAATCAAAGCTGCGATTAATGTCGGTCTTCTGCTTCGTCATTTTGGTGCCTCTAGGAACGAATATCGGCGACGCTCACTCGGAGCGCCGATGATTTTCTCTCGCTAATTGCTCCGTACAGATCGCAGAGCGAACCGATCGATACGACAGCGGTACGAACTCGACGAAAATCTCGAAACGCTGCCCTTCCATAAAATAATTATTCGTGCTTCTCGATGGACCACGATCCTTCGTACGAAATACGTAGAACCAGACGTTTTATAAAAGCTGTGTTCATCGTTCGATCGAACCGATCGGTTCTCGGCGTTCCGCGTGTATTCACTTCGATTTTCTTATGAACGCATCGAACTCGTTCGCGATCTGGACTCTCGATCTGAAGACTAATTAATAGACTTGTAACTGGGGCAGGTAAAATGGAAACAGCGCGGATCGTCGACGATACGAGCAGTAATTTAATTAAAACGTTGATACCCACTCGCTAAATAACTGCCACTTGGTAATTACCCGCGCGAGGACGAGAACGTTTGCTCACGGCGACGCTCCGAGTTTTGATCTATCGGGCTCTACCCTCGACGACACGATTACAAAAATGATTAACGAGTTTTCCCCGCGTGCCTATCGATCCCGATGATCCAATGCCCGTCGCTCCGTTTCAACGGGAAACATTCGCGACGGCCATAGTAAAATATCGGAATCCGTTCGTCGACGCAGTCACAAAAAATATATGGAACGAACGATACGGGGGTGGTATAAAAAATGTAGTAAGAACCTTCCTCGAGTCTCGGCTCGACGTTCTCGATCGGAACGTCAGAGAGGCGGCAACGTAACGAAGGAGACACGTCGAGAAGGTAACAAAAAGGCGAGACGGGTCAAAAGTTAAAGCGAGTCGAGAACGCGGAGCAGAGGGCAATTTCTAAGGGAATAACGAGGCGCGGTCGGAGGAGGGCGATCTTCTCTGCTCCGTTACTCCGTGGCAAGTTAAAATGGAAAGTTAGGGGAGGAGATCATGGTGGACGAGCACGAAACGCGAACGTTCAGATGCCGCGAGGCATTTAGGATTTTCAAGGGACGGTATCAGCCTTCAGAAAATCGCACCGCCAAACCTGTGTTTACCATCCGCCCACGCATTTCCTCGAACGAGCGCCGGAAATGTTTTCTATTTGCATGAGATAAAAATCGTCTCTCGTAGATTTCGGTGCGCATTTCACACGCGAAGGATCCCCTTTTTCGAGGAGCCGATCGCGCTTGAGAAATCTATCGACAAGTATGGAAGCCGACGGCTAGGGGACAGGCGGACGTGCGGACGCGTAAATTTAGTAATTCGTCACAGCGCGGCGTCTTAAATAGTTCGAATCGAAACTTTCTCGGGAAGGGGAGCGCGAGGTGAACGCAAACAAAACGGAGGAACGCGAGGTAGCTTCCTCCGAATTCGTCGAATCCGTTGACTCGGGTTCTTCCGATACTTACTACTGGTATCGAATCGTTTCGTTTCAGTATGCGAGCGGAAATCGAATGAGTTCACCGACTCCCGACGGACTAACGCTTTATTAAATTTCCATATTTGCTCATCTATTTCCGTTTGCTCGAAACGGCGTGCGCTCTCGAATCTCGGAATAAAAATACAAACGCGACTCGTACGTTTGCGTACGAGAATTTTCCTTGATAAATGATACGAGCAGAGAGGGAGACGTTACTTATTTGTTTCATAAAGAGCAACCATCAGTTTTAAGTTTAAAAGTAGTGCAGTTCCAAAGAGAGACAGCTTCGTTTTTGATCCGCTCTTAAAGGAATGTAGGTATATAAACGAAAAAAAAAATATAATCCCCTCGATTCTGAACGTAATGCCTTTCTACTCTAGAGCCCTCCTGCCTCTGCGTTCTGCTATGCCCATAGCAGTGGCTCGAGAGGATGTTCGTTCACCTCACAAGCGATTCTTCGCTACTCTTTTCCCTGCTCACGGTTCGTTTCGTTTTCATTTCTGTTCCCTCGCTCAAGTACACGTCTTATATTTAAAACGGAACAAATTTCCATCGGAATGGAAACTGTAATTGCAACGTTCTGCGTCTGGTCGTAATCAGATCAAAAATAGATACGCGTCTTTCGCTCCTGGCGCCGATCGTAACAACGAGATTTGATCGTAGCCGCGGAGTGCAGGCGAGAGAATTTATACCGAAAGAAAGGGAGGAACGATGAGAGGGTGTTTAAAGTTTACAAGTCTCTGACTTTACGCGCTGTTAAACAAAAGACGTTTCCCTCGCGAGGACAAAGGTCGAAAAGTTCCCCCTGTTTCGTGCCTGCTAGAATGGAATGGATGTAAAAGAGGAGGAAGCTGTTCGAACAGAGGGGATCCGGAGGTGTTCGAGACGTCCGAGGAACATCTCCTGCCTCCCCCACCCGTCTCTCTCTATCCGGCTCTATATTATTATCCCCGGTCTGTCCCTCAGGGGAGCAATGAGAAACCGAAGGCACACCATCCCTTCCTTCACGGAACGTTCTCTCCGTTTGTTTGCCCAACGAAAACAGGTGCCAACCTGGCAGTCGCTTAATTACTCGGTGAATTCCATCGGCCATTTAGAAACCATCGGCAGATGAAGAAGTTTTGAGAGTCGCGAGCCAAATACTAATTCTATTTCGTTTTCAATTACTGCTTTCCAATTTCTACGGTACGCGGTCATGGAATAAAAATCTCGATTCCAATACCAGTTTAAATAGAAAATAATTCCAGCACACGTTCAAAGAGTGGACGGTCCGCTTCTGATTTGAACGGTCGATCGTTATTTTCTATGAGGGAAGGGAAAAACGAGAAAAGAGCTTCCGATATCTCTGGGCAAATGCACCGTCGATCGCGCTTTCGATTCAAATAAAATTTCCGCGTGCGCGTGTACCAATACGAAACGCGATATGACCTGGTCCGTTTCTCGTGTACTTCTGTTCTGCGGAAACGAACGATAGACGAGAGATCGAACTAAAAACAGATGCTACCGAACGATTCTCCGACTCGTGGTTTCGTCTGTGAAAGATTTTAGCGATTAAAATCGACGATGACCCGCGGCAGCGATCGAAGCGTAGAACGATCGCGCGATATACTCGAGAGAAAAATTAATTGGGCCATTTTTCATACGGCAGACAGCGAAGCAGGAAACCGCGTGTGGACGTACGCGCCATGCGGCACGCACGGGAGGTATGTATCGGGCAATCAGCTTAATGAGGAAAGAGGAACGAAGCCGACGGGAGGAGAGCGAAAACAGAGGTGAAGAGGAGGGCCTTTTACCCAGCTAATGATTTGAGAAACACGCCGTTCCATTTATGGCAACGCGATCGGAACCAGCGACAATTTTTATCCACCCTCCTCTCGTCGTCGAACGATCGACGATGGTCTTTGCTTACCCTGCGTCATCGGCGTGTGTCTTCGGTCCAAACTTCGAAACGCATGCCCACTTTAGAATTTTCGATTCTTCTCTTCGCTATCCTGCAACAGAGCAATTCCTCCAATCAGTCCCTGTACGAATGATTAAAACGCGAAATCTGAGCGTAACGAGGCACTTCTTCACGCGCTCAACCGGGGCTCGATGGGCATAATACTCGTTCCTACGTTCTCTGTGCGAATTAGAATCAGACGTTACGGTTTAAAGATAATTGCTCGAGCTACCGAAACAAAGAGAATTTTATCTCTGATTCTTTCGGTCTCGCACTGCGAGTAAACTTACGTAGGCACATCGTGATTCGATTTACGAAGCAGTTTGGCTCTCTGAATCCTTGATGGATCGTTCTATTGCAAGTAAGCGTGAAGTTTGAATACGGTAGTGTCCGCATACATAGCAATGAGTAATCTCCGTCGATCTTAAAATAATAA